AAAAAAAAAGGAAAAAAATTTTTAATTAAATTTTGTATACATACATAAATCTAGGTTACGTTTGTTTATTATAATTTAGTTACCATATTTACGAACAAAAATGCATTATGTGAAAATATTTAACAGGCTCGTAGCACAGCCAACTGTAACAATAACACGAATCAAAAACATTAAAAGAATGATCGAATCAACAGTAGGAAAATAAGTAATATTATACGATACATTATAACATACTGTAATGCCATATTTTACAAGTTTAACATGGATAACCTACAGTGGGATTAAATGTTTAGTTAATAATTAGTAGAAATAACTTGAAGATTATATCACTCTATGAATTTATAAATGAGAACTTTGCAATATTGCACTATATTATAAAGGGAGAAGAGCGTGAACAAAAACAATAAATGCTTACAAAAAAAAAACAATTTCGCGAATTTGTGTAAAGGAGGAACAAGGACAGGTTTTTTTTTTCTCTCCACCTTTTTACTCCTACGTTAGAAATCTCACATACAATATCAACAACATTACACGAACATTACTCTAGCACAAACATGTAAATTAAAAAGGGAAATCGCCATCGAGGACGATAGCGGCGCGGCCTCGGACGTGTCACGTACGANGGTAACGGAAGCGGTACCCAATACAGAAGCAATAGATGCTTTACATGAAAGAGGGTACATAAATCCGACGCGCATGAACAACGAAGAGAAAGTCGTAGGTGAAGCTAAAAGTACTAAAGAGAGAAAGGTAACGGTTATATAAAAGTACGTAAAAGAGCATTTTGAGGAAACGGCGCTCAAATCGAAAATTAAGAAGTGTGTTAAGGCTCTTACAGACGTAATAATTGCAAACAATATTAAAACAATTGGAATTTTCAGGGATCTAGCGATTCTTAATCTTACCCAATGGGGGTACTTTGCCGATATTTTCGAGGAAATATTCAAAGACACTAGATTAGCGGTGGTGCTCTACACCAACACATTGATAATTCCANTGGAATTTTCAGGGATCTAGCGATTCTTAATCTTACCCAATGGGGGTACTTTGCCGATATTTTCGAGGAAATATTCAAAGACACTAGATTAGCGGTGGTGCTCTACACCAACACATTGATAATTCCACCGACGAGTCAAAGATTGAAAATAATTAAAGAGTACCAAGAAAGCAGCCATAGGCGGGCACAGAGGCATGAACAAGACATATAGTAGGATCGCGAGGGACTACTATTGGAGAAACATGCGCCCAGACATAAGGCAAGTCATTTTGGGATGCCCTTCATGTCAGACGAAAAAACTTGTAAGGGTGAAAACAAAACAAGCGTTGCTCATTACGGATACACCGAGTAGACCTTTTGAAAAAATTTCAATAGACTACTACGGGCCAATCAGTAAGCCATCAACAAATAACTACACACATATTTTGTCCATGCAAGACTGGCTAACAAAGTTTATTGTTCTTGTACCAGTGAAGAGAGCAATAGCTGAGGAGACCGTGAGGGCAATAACCGATAAATTTATAGCATATTTCGGACCCCCGGAACATCTACTGTCTGACCGAGGCACCCATTTCATGAATAAAAGCATGGATGAACTAGCAAAATTATTTAAAATAGACAAAATGGGTAGTACGGCATTTCACCCTCAAACAAATGGGGCCATCGAACGAATGCATCATACGCTCACCGAATATATAAAAGCCTACGTGGAGAAAGAAGATCAGTGGGACGAGCACTTACCATTGTGCATGCACTCATACAATACTACGGACCATGAGAGTACAGGGTACTCACCACATGAGCTTGTTTTCGGGCAAAGAGCGAGAACACCTACTAGCTTTAAGACATCATCCAACGGCCAGACGTCGAACGAATATTTTAATGAGCTGGTAACGACACTGACGGAGATGAGAACCATCGCCGCAATGAATCAAGTGCAAGCGAAATACCGCTCAAAATATTACTACGACCGCAAATTGAATACGAGATACTACCTCGAGGGAGAGATGGTTTATGTGTTAAAAGAGCCGTCGAAAGGGAAATTCGACGCCCAATATGAGGGCCCTTACGAAATAACTGGCATCGATTATGCGAAAAAGAATGTCAAACTTCAGAGGAAG